GTGAGTGTTTAATGTAACAACTGAAGGAATTGCACACTATCCAACTAAATGTAGATGTAAAATGTAATGTAAATGTGAAAAATGAAGCTTCATTAAAAAAAAAAATAATCTGCTACGCTTCCTTCAGAGGCTTTTTTCCCTGAAAAGATGGGGTCTTTTGTTCCCTTCTGGCATTTTTAAAAAATCATAAAGCCATGATTTTTCCAATTTTTGGTCATTACAAATAACCAACCTCATTAATTAACTTTCTGTCACTGAATAACTTCTGGTCCAGTAATCAACAGCCGCCTTTGTACACTCACTGAGATAGCCAAGAGTCTCTTGCTGTCAGTTGCTGGAAGAAGCCTCCTGCAATGAGTTCATGTGGCACCGTCCTCCAAACCATGTCTGATGGCCACACACCAGTGTCTGAGCCTATCAGGCATTGGCGGCACCATGGTACACTTTATATTTATTAATGTTCTGGATTACTTCTGCTTTATTTCTCGCAAAATGACAGCATGACTTCTGTTGGCAACTGTGGGGTTTCTGCATTACTGTCTGATACATTACATGTATGTCTGATACATACATACATACATAACATGTATGGGGTATTCTTTTATCTTGCAAATAAAGTGATAAGCTTTTTCTGCGGTAAGCATATTAGAAATCAGTCAAGCAATAAATGAGTATGTTTTCCATAGAAAGGCCTCAAATGGAATACACTCTGGAGTTTTGGGAGTTGCTCATTGAGAAAGTTTCAGACCAAATAAAGAATATCCAGAGCAGACCAGTAAGAATGATTACGAATCTGGAAAACATGAGTTTCATAGCATGAATTAATTTATTGGGAAGAGAAGATTGAGGGGAAGGGACATGATAACAGTCTTCAAATGTCTGAAAGATTCTTGTAAAGAGGGAAGAGAATGCTCTCTTCTCCAGGTACACCTGTCCTCCATTGCGGTATGTGGTAGATAGGTGAAAAAAAATAGGCTTAGTACTGTTTATGAAGGTCAGAGGTGGGTGTTAAGAATATTTTAATAATTCTGAAGATAGTGAAACACTGATGCAGATTGTCTGGGGGATGCATGGCATCCTGTCACTGGAAGTCTTAAGATAATAACCAGACAAACAGAGGTCAGGAAGACCTTCTGACTTTGTTCTGTGGCAGCAAGATGAACTAGATGACACTGTGATGTCCTCCCAGGTCTTTTATTGTATGATTTGACACTCACCTTACTTCAGGCAGCTTTTGTTGCTGACTTGTAATGTATTGGAAGGATGTTGATATTTCATGTCACAAGCTCCTGAAAGCAGGTTGTTAGGCAAGAACCTTTACTTTCATTTTTGTAAAGCAGAAGTGTCTAATACTTACTATTGCAAGGAAGAGATTAAAATAATGAACTTCAAACCTACAGCAAAGGGCAGGGACAAAGTGGCCAGAATATATCTATCAACATCTCAGTATTTTTAAGACAACTTAATAATCATCTAAATGTTTGGGAGAGGCAATACTCTTGGCCTTAGCCTTGGCCTCGTTTGTTCTGCTTGAATAATTTCTCATTTTACATTGCTGTCACCTTCTTTTCCAACGCACATTTGTTAAGCACAAAGATTTCACCTGTGAAACGTCTTGTGTCTACTAATGCTTCCACTCCATGATTGCTTTAATCTTGCATTGCTGTCAACAGAGATGTGTATGCTCCCTCTATCCCTTCCATGCTCACACTCTCCTGTCAGCACAAAGGTTTGTGCTTTCAGGTGGTGAACTGGAGTCAAGAACTGATCCTGGTCTTAAACAGACTGGCGAAAGAAAAAAAAACCACCCAAACCCAAAACATTTTAACCAGGATCACTTCTCCAGTCTAGTTCACTGCAGGACCATAAAAATGTATGTGTGAAGGGGCGTACAGGAATCTGAATGAACAGGTTCCTGTCTGGCGAAGGTGGGAGCAGCCTTTTGAAAGGACAGTGCAAGACCTAAAATTGTGGAACGTGTGCTAAGGAAAAGTTGTCCTCTGCTGTCCTACTCTATGCTTGTTTAGCACTGCACCTGCTTAATAGAGTACCAAAAGAAAATGCTCATCAGCTTTTGCACAACTGCGGAGTCAACACAAGTGAGAGAAACAGTCTGTTCCTTCTCTGACTCGATATTGATCTGTGTAGAAATACAAAAAGGTAGAAATTTTATTCTTAACTGAGCTTTTGTAACCTCTTCCCTCAGTTTGCCAATACAACAGCTAGGAAAAAACCTACCTTTTTTTCCTGGTACTGTACACAATCTTCAAATCCACGATGAATAAATATGGATTCCTGCCATGCAACTTTCTCAGAGTATGTTGTTCTCCACGGTTCATTTAAGATGCTGAAGTTGTTCTTGAAATGAATATTTTGGAGAAGACATTGGACAAGGCGCTCTATGGAATGCTTTCTTTAAAAAAAAAATTACTATTGCATTTTTGAGAGACACAGCTAATCAATTTTGGCCTGAATTTCTTTCCTTCACAAAAGCAAATCTCAATCCTGGTGCATAATTTCTGATCTTGGCATCCAGCCCAAACATATGTACATACTGAAATCAGTTTTGCATCTGTTTAACTTTATGCACGAGTAGTCTAATTGGATTTAGTCTGATGAAATGACTCATGGAAAATCAAGTGTTTGCAGAACAAGGGTTTCAGACAGTAGGGTTCTTCAGGGCAGTAGCTTCTACAGCTTTATGTGGTGCCTAGCACATGAAATGGCTTTTTGATTATCTAGAAGCCCTCTGCATGCTGTATAGCTGTAGTATGAGGTGAAATGAAGAAGTACAAAAGAACAAGTCTTGCAGTCTAGGTCAGATCTTCTGCTGCGTAGCACTTGGACACAATTACAATAATTGTAACAATTAATTGTAACTTTCTTTTTTAAAAATTTTCTTCTGGGAATCTCTTCAGGATCAAGGAAAATCACTCTTCTTATTCCTTCATAACAGGCTACCAGGCTGCAGCTGTTGGCCTTCTGGTAGCCATTGGTCGGGTTAAATACTGTTGCTTATGTATGCTAGACACTCTGATAAGTTATAGCCATCATCTTCTATCAGGATGGAACTATATTCTTCTGGAGCCTGATAATTCAATGGATTCAACACCTCCTGCAAGGAAGAGTTATCTAAATGGACAGCAATGTAGATATTAATCATCTTCCCAGAACAAAATATCAGTTTGTCAAGAAAAGGAACAGGGTTTTTTGCTGCTCTCCCAAGTCTTATCTTCCTATGCCATCTCATGTCTGCCATCCTGAACCCTGGCTAATTTCTTGCCTTGTAACTGTGCAGTCATAGGCTGTAGGAAGAGAAGAGGTGATGCTGAGCTTGCTACTTGTTGAAGGTGTTTGTATCTAGAGGCTGGCTCTTCTGTTTTCTTTTGATGTTTTCTCATTCTCCCTACGTCTGCTATAAGGGTCTAGGGAATGGAGAGTGGTCTGGAGAGTGGTCTAGAGAGTGAAGAGACTCAAGGAAGGGGATGAGAGAGGCTGCAACATCTGATGTTAGGAGCATTAGGGATTAAAAAACGGAACTCCAGGGGATTTGTACTGTGAGAATATAGTCTGGGGAGGATAGATAAAAAAGGCAGGCTTGCAGTATGAGTGCTGTTAAGGCAAGGCAAGGAAATGTATGTGAGTGACTTCAAAACTGATGGTGTACAGAGGACCAACGTAACATGGAAATGGAAATAGGAAAGAACTTGGGGTAAGAATATAAAGCAAGAAGTATACCTTAAAGATGAATGGTTTTGTTGGCCTTTCCCTCCTACCTCACTGCCCAGGTACATTCTGTGATTGGTGAAAACACCCTGAAATAAAGACAGTTTTAGGAATCTCAGAATGTAGATCAAGGCATGTGATTTTAAGTATTTGAAATGTGTTTTTGATTGAGGCATTATGCTCCTGACTTTTGGTGACATTTAAGCAGGAGGCACCTAAAAAAAGCACGTATGTGAAGTTCATCGTGTAGCACCCGATTCAGGACTCTCTGAAGTTAATAGACTACAGTATGCTTTGAAGCAAGAGAGGAAAATATTGAAATATTACAGGATTAAAACATTATAGAAGTAAAATTGTGCTCTAAATTACCTAAACGTGAAGCTGATGGCTCTGGTGAAGATACTCTCTGATGCTTTTGTGTGACTGGGGGAAAGCTTTGATCTTAAAGTGTTAAGTCATAGAAGGCTTTTTATTACTGATGTCTTTTTGTGGTCTGCAGTTTGAAGTGTATGCAGAAGAAACAGGTAACTGAAGTCTTGATATTGCAAGGAAAAATGCACAGTGTTGACTTTTGGTAATTGAAAACCTTTTGGTCCTACAAGTGGATACACTTTAATGAGATGGTCATCTGTTTTATCCAGCAAGCTGAATTTCTGCTCAGGGGAAAGTTCTGAATGCTGATACGCAAAGAGAAAATGGTTTTACTATATGGTTCTCAGAAGAGCATTCAAAATGTTAACAAACCTACACATCTCTAATTCATTCTGGGGTTTTGCAAGTGAAACTAGAACATAATAATCTCCAAGTTTTGAATAACTTATTGCAGCTCTTGATAATATTTCGTATTGATTGGATGAATATCAATGTTTCCTACTTAAATCCTCTTTGCCTTAAAATGTGTAATTTTTAATCCTTTAGAGCAACTGCCCCTTATTTACATCTTAGCTAATACAAAGAAGTTGATATTTGTAAGAAACTTCTGTATGTAGTACTTAAACAAGGCTGTGTGGCAAAGATCTCATGTTAACTAATTATCATAAGTAATTAATTTGTTAATTGATTTACTGAATTTGCAGCTGGTCAAATTTTTTTAAAGTACTGAAATGAATATTATTGTGAATTGTTTGCTCTTACAAGGCTTATGAGCACTTTATGTTGAACAAAGAATAAAAAGACATCATGGAATTCTTTAAATATTTATAAAGCATTTTTGATGAGTAGACCTTATTTCCATGGTGAATTTTTACAAACATATTCTTTTTGTCTATTTTCAGTCCCCTGCACATAGCTATTCAAGCTATGACTCTGGCAAGAATGAGAGTGTAGGCAGAGGTGCTGAAGATCTGTCTCTGAATCGAGGAGATGAGGATGAGGATGACCATGATGAGCAGGAAGATCCTGAGAAGGTTAATGAATCAGATGGGGTAGAAGCTGAGCGACTGAAAGCTTTTAACGTAAGTCCTCTTGCACTCATTGTCTTGTTTACTTCTACTATTCCTTTCACATTGTTATTTATGGGTAAGTTTGACAATACTAAAGGCACATTAATTAATTTGCAGGATTTATTTCAATTATTATTTTAATACACATTAAACTCTTGCCAACAGATGACATTTACTGTGTTTTATTTAGAATTTTAAGGCAGAGTGCCATGTTTACCAGTGAGGAAAACAAAGCTTTGTTCTGTATGTGTGCGTGTGCACCTGTGTGTGTGGATGTGGATGTGTGTATGTGCATGTTCACCCGTTGAATAGAAAGGGGCTGTAGCTAGTTTATCAGAAGACCACTCCGGTGGTCAGCTGTTCTCCATTGCTTTCCCAATGTATGTAATTATGCATGAAAACATAAGCAATTGTTCAAACAAAGAAAAAGTGAGAGTCAGTTCAATAAAATGATTTGCAATCACAGCTTATTGTTAATAATGAAACTTAAGTAGTGCCTATTTTCACAATCTGTTCTGGTTTATCTCACAAGTTCTGTATCCTATAGACTATTCTTTTCTTGTCTTTTTTTTAATCAGCCCCCCAAAATAACCCTTTAAAGAACTGTTTGCTTAATATTTCTGGCTTCCCATTACAAAGCTCTTCAGTGGATAGAAAAAATGTCTTCCTATCAGTAATCAAGACAGGAAGCTAGGAAGAGAAGAGAGCCTCCCTCCAAACCCATCTCCTCTGTCTCCCTCTTGCCAACAGATGTTTGTCAGGCTGTTTGTAGATGAAAACTTGGACCGAATGGTCCCAATCTCTAAGCAGCCCAAAGAAAAGATCCAGGCTATCATTGACTCATGCAGGCGACAATTCCCTGAGTATCAAGAGCGTGCCAGAAAACGCATACGTACTTACCTCAAGTCCTGCAGGCGGATGAAAAGAAGTGGTTTTGAGATGGTGAGTTTTGATTTAAAACCCAGCCCTAGTTTCCATCAAAACCCCATATGTAAATCCATGGCACTATTTTGTTTTCATCTTAGTGTCTTTTTTGTTTGTTTATTTTTTTGATAATACCAGGTCAGAGGTTTCTTTTTCCCTCCTTCATTCTTCCTGAATTTATTCCCTTTGTTCACTGGTTTAGAAATGCTTTGAGGCACTAGAGTTCACAAGATGACCTAGTATGGATGTATAGGAAAAGAAGAACAAAGCAAGGCATAAGGAGGGAAACCAAATGATGGCATATATAGTGACTTATTTCCTACTTTAGGTTACAGTTAGAGATTTTTGCCTGGAAAAGTCTTGCAGTAAGATGGATTTTTCTTTAAAATCCCTCTGCTAACTGGATTTCTGTGAGCTCTGTAAAAATTAAATCCTGCTAGAGAAATGCTATACCCAAGAAAATGCCCAGTGTAGTAACATCACACTGGCAATGATTTTGGCTTTGGGTTTTTTCCTTGTACATTTTAGCCTATTACTTATCAGTAAAAGTTACTCCTTTGAAATCTTTCAGTTGATATATAGGTGTGCAAAATGCATTAAATGGTTTTAAAACACAGACATCAAGCTTATAGTTTGAGCATCCCAATGGTTTATTAATTGTAACCGAACCAAAACCCATGAAAATTATGATGGTATACAACTGTCAGTGTTTTCAGACATTAATATTTTAATATTACTCAGTAGCACAAGAATGGGTCAGTAATGTCTTCTCACCAATTGGCAGCTTCATTATCTCTAAAAACTTGGTATTTCTAAAACCCGGGAAAGTTGGAAGAAACTAGGTAGCTACACATCTTATGTTTGATGTGTCTTAGCTATCTCTCTGGCCTTTAGATGACAATAAAATCACCTCATCGTTACAAATAGATATCATTTAGTGATTAAACATATCATTATTTTTTTTTAACGAGTCATGTGCAAACCCATTGATTACATAAAAAAATTACTGGAGATTATTGAATTTTACTGTTTCTCTCTTTCTCTCTGTCTTTCTCTTTCCTGCAGTCTTTGCAGAATACTTATGATTTCCATATGTTGTTTAAGATGTTAGCTGACAGTTTTAAGAACAAAATACCAGGTTTATTTGTAGGGCAAGACCACTATTGGATAACACAAAACGCAATGACAGAAACTAAATTTTTGTATGTGTTTGTGATTCTAATTGACTGCATGGTTTTATTATTTGAAAAATTGGGATAACGCTGTTTCTGAACAATGAAAACGCAGATGAAGGGAGACAGGTAGAATAAAGGACATCTGTACAGATAAAAGTGCCAAAGATTGACTGGTGGTGTACATGTCAGATTGTATAGCCTTCCAAAATAAAAGAAGGAAAAACAGAAAGTAAATATTTCCTACGATACACTAAGTAGCATTAAATTCGTCTGCTCACTCTGGCTGAAAATAATTCAGCAACATCAAGTTCAGCTTTCATGATACCAAATATTTTTATTTTGCTGTACTTTCAATTGAAAATACTTACAAAATTAGCTGATACTAGCAAGTGTCCTCACTGTTCCAATTTATGGCCTCATTACTGTCATTATTCACACTGATGAGCAGTTATGTAAACTGGCTCATTTTTTGTCATCTGAAAGTCTTGCGCAACTGTTTTGCACTATGAATAAAGGGCTTACAGTCCGACCCATAAGAGCTAGGTTGGCTTGACTTCAGTGCACATTTGCAAATGTTACTTTCATATGAATAAAGGTTGCAGGATCGAATTTATTCCTGGGAGGGGAAAAGGAGCAGAGATTTCCAGGAACATGATCCAAATAGGCAATCTTTATAGTTTAGAAATATTCCCTATTTTTATAATGTTCCACAACAGTTTATGATGGGCTTTATTTCTTTTTAAACAAACAAATTACCCTCTAAAATACTGACTTTGCTGCCCATGAATGGAAGTGACAAGGCACTGGAGCTCATGCCAAAGATTTTAGCCCTCTTGGGCCTGAAGGGAAATCTGTCCTGCTTCCCCGTTCGCAGGTAGGAACATGAGCCAAAGACTATCCAAAGTCTTTGGAGGAGCTCCCATTAACTTCCTAAGAGAATAAGAGGTGTTTTATGTTTACGTCTTGAAAAATTCTGAAATATAATACGTATCCATTTGTTGTTTTTAATTATTTTCTGATTTCTAAATTACTGTATCAGCATCTCTTGTTTATAAGCAGTTTTTAAAAATGCTACCATGGACAGAGGCACTTGACTGTATGATTATTTTAAATGTACGTACTATTTTGACAGTGGAAAAGGACCACTTTGCATAATAACATTTGTTCAAAACAATCATGAAGGGACATGTTGGTGTTGATTTGAATAAGGTGATACCCTCAAGTATAGCAAAACAGGATAATGATCTCCTCAGGAGCAATAGTGCTACCGTTGTTATATTAAATAGGATGTCAGATAATAATCTCCACAGGAGATGTCTTTTGCTATAGACATATTAAACACAAGTTTTTCACTTTGTTCAGGTTCAGAATGCTACATTTTGAGCATCTAGTTGCAAGAGAAAAAGAGAATAATCTCATATATGGCGCATGACAGTTCAGACTGTGTGTGGAACAGTGCAGCTATTTACAGTGTCATATTGTAAAGTGAAAAGAAAATGTAAACACTAAGTTAAATTAGTGTAAGACTGCATGGTAAAGATGAAAAAGCATGCCTGAAGCCTTCTTCTGTCAGTTATTTGCCATCTGTAATCCAAACGACAGTTCTTGCGGCGTAACAGGCCAGTTCTAGCTCTGAGGCAATGGGAAAGGCTCAGTCTCATGAGTGTTCGTATCGTTAATTAATGTGTTTCTTAGTATTAATATTTTTAAGAGATTGCTTACTTCTACTCTCAGCCTTCTACTTATGACAGATAGTTGTCCGTGGACTCTAAGGCAGCTTGCATAGCTTCTTGTTCCAAATATTCCTTTGAGGCGTTCCCTTTCGACATTGGAAATGCTTTCCCCATTTGACTGTTCAGCTTGTAATTGTGCCATTTTCATTCTGACACAAGCATATCCCTCAACAAGGCACTGTCGAAGTTTTTCTCATGAATTGTAAGATCTCCTCCCATCGTCTCTTGCTTATGGATTGTTGAGAATGTTCTCTTACTAAATTCTATGATCTTGCTCAGAGTCTTTCATTGAGAGGAAAGTTTGTCAAGTCCTGAAATCACTGGCCTTTGGATGGGATCTCTAGGTTGTGCTTCCACCTGCACTATGCTGTAGCACTTTGTGAACTTCTTAAAGTTCTTGATGTTCTTAAAGAAATTCTTTCTTTTTCTCTTCATTAGCCCATAAACAAAAGAAAAAATATATTACTGCCTCTTTCTCACAGACTGATGTTAATAAGAATTCATTTATATACATTGTTTTGTGACCTGTATATGGTATACAAGAGGAATTTTCTCCCTGAAAAGGTCAAATGACCTGTTTCACTAATGTTTTAAAAATCTGTCCTTTAGACTTGTCCCAGTCTCTGTGTCTATAAAAAACTGCCAATTAAAAAAAGATAGAAGACAGCTCCTGAGGATATGTGGTATGTATTTATTTAGTTACAGTCCAGAAAAATTTTAGATGCTAGAAATAATCAAATGAGATCGAATTGACTTAATAATTACCTTTTCTTGCTACTACCTGCTTCCTCCCGTCTTCATGATCTCCTATCATCAGTCTCACTGCATCCAGTTTGCAACTGCATCTTACAGTATCTTTTTCGTAGTTACAGCTTTTTTTCTATGTGCATCCCAATGCAAGAGCAAGGTCTTAGACTCTCATTCACAAAGAGATTCTTCCTTTTGTTTAAGCAAAAGGAAACCCTCCTTCCTAGGCACTACTGTAATACAAAGCAATAGTATCAAAGAGCTTATGTTCTTATGGAGAGAAAAGGCTAGTCATAAATGCTTATCCAAACTTGTCTTCGGACAATGAAGTGTCAGAGAAGAAGAGTCACACTATGCCTGAAGACAGTTCCTCATTAGATCCCATTGTTGTTCATCCCAGCTCCTTCTGTCCTGTTGACAGCCTCAATAACAAATAACTAAGCTTTATATCTTTCACTGCTTCTGTTATTTGGTTGTGCCAATTGGCTGTAAGAGGTGTTTTAACAATTTGCAACTGTGCACATGTTTATTGAGGTGTTTTAAATGTGTCTAGTGGCTTGGGGTGCTTCTGTATTGTGATTGAGCAACTTCGGTGGGGACTGGTTTTCAGAAGGGGGTATATTTTCTGAAATTTGCCTCGTTAAGGTTTCTCGGGATAGATATCTAGCCTCTATTTTTAAGTTTTAGCTTTAGCAAGAGGAAGCTTTCATTATTTACTGAATTTAGTGCTGAATAGTCCAGCTGCCCTCGCAGTCACATGGCTTTTCAGTCCTCCAGGCTTTTTATGGTGGGAAAAGGTCATAAGCATTTTCAGGAAGATGAGTGTCTGTTGGTCCAGGGATGCATACCTAATCTTCATTAGTAAGCTGGGAAGCATTAAGAAAATTATCACAAGAACAGTTACATGAAGATCTACAAATAATAACAGAGTTGTGCTTTGTACTATACCCCAAACTCTGTTGACTGGTCACTTTTCTTTCTAAGCATCTCACCCCTGTTAGACAGCGCTTAGCTTATGTAAGTCTGATGGGCAACCTGGTTGAAAAAGGGCAAAGCTACTCTCTGACAAACTTTGTCTTTTTGCATTAGGTCTCACATATCCTTAAAAAAATATTCTAGAAACAGTTTCCCTAAGGCTCTTAAATATTCCACACCCCCCCACCAGTTAAGTGAATACTGATGTGATTTTTCAGAACCGCCTTTTAAATCTGTCTCAGATGATACCTTTTGCTTTTCAATAACTTTTGAAAGTATAGGCAATTTTGGAAAAGTGGGTGGCAGAAGAAATTACACTTTTTCCAGTAACCTTGGAAAATGTGAAGAAGTTAGCTTTGAAAAAGGCATGATATTTATATTTGGAAAA